TACTCCTACTCCTACTGCTACTGCTACTACTACTAGTACTACTACTACTACTACTACTACTACTACTACTACTACTGCTTCTACTACTCCTACTGCTACTGCTACTACTACTACTACTACTACTACTGCTTCTACTACGACGACGACGACTACTACTACTACGACTACTACTATGACGACGACTATTACTACTAGCACGACGACGACTGCTGCTAGTACAGGTCTCGACATGTTCGAACCTGGTACGCTAAAGCTGCTGAAGTCTTCGGTGCAATCATCCCGGAGCCGTACTCTCATGCTGAACACAACGCGTACTGCACGCCCACAAATATAGATGTAATTGCATCTAAACTCCAGTCATGACATCATGAAGCCAGAATCACGACAAACCCTGAGTTCGACAGTGCAGATCTTCAAACCCTTACGGACACCTGCAAGGAATTGCCACCCTGGACACGCGCCGCTGCTCATTGCGCGGAGGTCGCCATTCGCACGGCGACCCGCGTTCCTTCGCAAAGCCCCGGAAGGGTTCATATACTCGGGGGATCCTAGAGACTTAATGACTTAATGGTTACGGCCTGTGTACTTGGGTTTAGGGCACAAGGCTGCAAAGGTTGCTACATTAGAAGGAGTTACTTATAAGACTACCTGCCACCCTGTCCGATCCCCCCCAAGTGGCCACTGAGACTCGACCTCCGAAGGGTATAGGGCTTACCCTAAACCCCCCAGGTACCTACTATATAGGGTACTAGAGCCCCTAGGGCCCTATATAGTAGGTACCTGGGCGGTTAGGGTTAGGCCCAGTTTAGGGATTAACCCATGAATCATCCGAGCTGGGTTTTCTGCATCGTTACACGGCTTTATTTACAGGGTTCGAGGAAGGGGCCTTAATCATCAGAGCAGGGAGAATATAGGTTTTTGGCTGGATTTGGTAGCAAGGCTTGATGTCGCGGCCGTAATCATCCCATGAGGGGTATACCAGAATACCTATACGTGGACTGCAAAGCGTATGTTCTACAACTGGGTCTGCATGACGGTAGCCCCTACAAACACTTCCGGAGGCGACGCAGAAGATCTAAGAACCTCGTCAGTCCAAGCTCAACTGTCGATTGTGAATCCTGGCCCCTATAACACGAAGAATGTATCCCAGGATATGGTATGACTACACTTAACATTGGAAAGCCTATATGACGCTTGAATCCCGACCCCTCACATTTCGGAACTCGCTTGCACTCGAAAGCCGATTTAGCCAAATGGCCAGGTGTGCCGGGCAGCAGAAGACAGGCCGGTAATGGTTGCATTCCCTGCCAGGGGATGCAACTTCAGGTAGGTTTCAACACTGCCGCGAAGAACCATAGCCGAACACAACATGAACACGCGAAGCAGTAGAATAATGATATTGACAGCGCGCACGATCATAGAATCATAGCGATGTAAAGCTGGCAAGGAAACTATATGGTTGAGGTCTCTAGCCCCTATTATAGGTTGGTCCATCGTTCGATGGACGGTAGAGAATCTGCACTCAGAGCTCGGTCGGACCATGGATTTGGGGTTCAGGATTTGGCTTCAGACGCCTACACTTCCATGTATCGCGACTACTAATTCCAGGACGGGCACCAGGACTAGACCACGACTATCATCTACATCTACATCAGTGACGACTGCGACAACAACAACTACTGCTACTGCTACTGCCACTGCTACTGCTACTGCTACTGCTACTGCTACTGCTACTGCTACTGCTACTGCTACTGCTACTACTGCTACTACTACTACTACTACTACTACTACCCACTATTCATCGTAA